TGGACTCTTGAGTATGAGAAGTTGCATGGGAGAATCCCAGATCCACACAGTCTGATGCAGTTGGTGACAGAAATGAGCAGAGAAATTGATGCAAGCCTCACCCAGGGACAAGCACAGGAAGAACAGTTATTGGGGAAGGCGGGAGTTGATGTGCACATTAATGCTTCTGCAGACGAGTTTCATGAAATGTTCAGCAGCAAGCCACACCATATTCCCAATGTTTCTCCTGCTAGAATTAGAGACGCTATTCTTGAAGGAAGTTGGGGCAAGGTCGGTTCCGTTATTGTCTGGCATTACGTCCATGGTACGTAACTTCTCAACTACCTCTCTCTCTTGCTCTGTCACACACCCACACAGTTAATTCACTTAATTGAATCTGTTTTATATATGTTGAACATGATGCTGATTCAAGAACGAACTTGTGGTCTATTTATGGATTGTGCAGAAGGGAAGAACGGTGTGGTTAAGGAGGTGATTGAAGCCATAGATGCAGACAAGAATCTGATCACTTTGAGAGTTGTGGAGGGAGATATCCTCAAGGATTTCAAGACCGTGAGTGTTACCTTCCACGCAATTCCAAAGGATAAAGGGAGTTTGGTGCATGTCATTATGGAATATGAGAAGTTGAAAGGTCACATTCCTGACCCCCACACTCTCGTAGACTCCGCTGCTGAGGTTGTCAGAGACATTGATGCTTATCTTGTTACCCAGTAGTAGCCATCTTTCAAGCTTATCTTTCGCTTTGCTATATATTGATCTTATTTGTATTTTCAGATGTTTGAGTCATGCGATTTGAGTCTTGTTGATTTCCTAGAGCATCTCAATTAAGGTGTTAAATTTCATAGAAGAAAAGTACAATGTGTGCGAGATGGTGAACCTCGCATATTGTATCGTTTTCTTTTATTGAAATCAACACTGTGAATTTCTGAAGAAATTGAGAGATTCAAATCCTCAACTCCAGTGTATGTGTCTTTGTGGATGTTATATAAACTCCATTGTGTGTAATAAAAACAGCTTTCACAGGTTTTTCATCCTGAAACGCTAATGCCTTTTTTGGTATAATGGAAGAGTTTTTGATGGCAGTGAAAGTAAGAGTGGAAGTGAAAGAGGAAGTACGTTTTAAAGCGTGTTTGGTTTGACCATGTAATATTATTTTTAATTTATATTAATTTTTATAACATAAAGTACCAAAATGCCCATCTGAAAAAAAAAGGGCAAAAGAAAAGTTTCCCTATTCATCGTCTTCTTCAACGTGCTCCCAAAGAAGTGAACTTCAAACGTGAATAACTTCACCTAGAATCCAAATAACAAAATAAATCTAGTAATGATTGATCTCATTGAAATCAAACCCAGAACAAAAGATTAAAAAAATTCATCTTCAACCCCAATATATGACAGATGCAAAGATGGAGCGATCAAAGGCGAAAATGAAATAAATTGCAGAAGACGAAGCAAGGGAAGTTGAGATCGTTTGAATAGCTTCAGGAATCGCAAGGAAGAAAGGAATGTTGAGATCCAACTCGTCTTTAACATGCTAGAGGAGAGAAGGATGACGAGGAGGTTAAGGAGTGAGAATGACGCAGGGGATGAGAGCGAGATTCGGAAGAATGGAAGGAGGGTCGCCAGTCAATCACCGTCGTGCAAGAGGGGGAAGGTCACCAGTGACCGTCACATCTGAGGTCGAACTTGAAGGCTTGGCTTGATCTAGATTTGAAGTCGAAGAACCTAGATGCTTGAAGGTTATCGTTGCCGTCGCGGATGAACAAGAGGGAAGGTTCGCCGATGACCGTCACAGATGTCGCCGATGAAGTCGTTGTCCTTTGCCGTCGCTGTACCTCGCTGTCGCCGCAAGAGAGGGAGAGGGAGGCTGAGCTGAAGACGGAGAGCAAAGAGAGACAGGTCAGGTGGGACAAAATTGTCAAATGATAAAATATATGAGGGTACAATAGTCATGAAATCTCACTTCCATGGAACCCGTGTCAGTCCCCACTCTACCCAAAGAACTCACTTCCATCGTCTTTTATGTAAGTGGGTTCCACATGAAAGGGACTTCTCACATACCAAGCAACCCAATTTATGAATTCCGGTTCCGCTTCCAATTCCCCAGCGTCAGTTCCAATGTACCAAACGGGGCATAAGAGAAATGCTCCACTGGGACCCAGGAGACTAGTCTTTCTTTCAGCTTTTATTGTCTTCTTGCCTTTCTTTTTCCCTTTGTATAAAAAAAAAAAAAAAGTTTGTTTGCAATGCTTGTGTTGCTTGTTCTTAATTATGTATTGCGATCAGCTGTAATATGTGGTTGTAAGCTATGAAATCCGTGGTTGAGTGTTAATTTGCTGCTGTCCTCCCATCTGGTTTACCATATAACTCTAGTTTTTCTTTTCACTTGTTAATACAAGAGTATCCATACCCTAATCAGCTTCATTTGACAAAATGGGTCGGACGAGTACCAAAAGATCCTTTTCTTTTGAGACGTTACCCAGAGAAACCTTCAATACCAAAAAGTCAATTGGAAAAGGTCATATATATAAATGTATGTCCTGAATATGCAAACCGGGGATAATACACACATCTTTAGAATAAGACTAGTTGGTTTTCAAATTGTTACTGTAAAAAAGAAAATTATCTTTCAGGTACTTATAGTTTTTCTCAATTGTTAATTTGGTACCTATACTTTTTTTCATTTTTTAAAAATCCTTCAACTTCTTTCCGTCAATACCGTTACCCCTTGTGTTTTTGGATATGTCCTCAAGGGCCAACAGAATGTAAACAGCATTGAAATTAGGGGGGAAATAACTGAAGACGCAAGCTACAATTGGATCGTTTCTTTCATGTGGGTGTGTCTTGTATTCTGATTGTTTCTTCTCCGTTGATAGCACTGAAATCATTGATAATTGATGGCAAAATAAAAAAGAACGAAAAAAAATCATTGATGACGCCAATTCTCCCCATAATGACATAGAAAACTTGGTGCCTCATTTGAAATAGATCACTGCATCTTTACAAAGTTATCACTTGTTTCCAGTTGCTCGACCTCTGTCACAAACATCTAAGTACTATTGGTGTGTTGTGATAGTGATATAATAGAATAGTGCGAGTTGTGCATGTAAAAACCTTCATTCCTAGACAAACTCTATTAGATGAACTAAATTAAATGCATAAAAATGAATTGCACAAGGTCATATACCTCACTATCTCCCAAGTTAGACAAATCGGTATTAGATCAAACAGGCTAAAATTTTACAGAATTTGATCAAGCGATCTGGAAATTGTTGTGTTTCCATCTGTTGCAATTTGCAGTCCTGCTGAATTGGCTACTTCAGAGCAGAGGCTAATGTTCAGCGATATTTTGTAGAGGATTTTTTTGATTGTCAAGCAGAAGAGACACTTGCTCATAAAAACACACAAAAATAGTGACATATGAAACCCGTTCATACCAGATGATAAATTCGAGAATGGAACAGAAATATATTCTTGTCGCCGTATATTGATCATTTCCTTCCTCAATGGAGTAGAGAATGCGTTGCGTCTTCATAACTGCTGCTGCGCTTGTGATGCTCAATAAACAAAGAAGACAATCCAGTCACGGCTTGTGTCCTTGGATCTTCAATTTTTTACCCTTTTTTAACGCCGTTTATATTCTGTTGGCCCTTGAGAGGATATCTAAAAACATAGGGGGCAACGGTATTGACGGAAAGAAGTTGAAGGATTTTAAAAAAAGAAAAAAGGTATAGATACCAAATTAAAAATTGAGAAGGTTTTCTCTAATTTGAACCATGATATATATATATGGATTTAAACACTAGAAAGCATAATAATGGGAATAATAATTATGGTTGCTGAGAAAGCCATCATCATAGTTGCAATTGATGAGAGAAAAAAGTAGAAAGCCATCGGCATCATCTTTTCCTTTCTCTGTGTTTTGGGTTTTTGTAAAGTATGCGCTAATTTTTTACGAAAAAAGAAAAAGTAAACATTAATCATGTCTCTATTTCGGATTGGATATAATACTCGAAAATATAATTCATCCGTCTATTTGGGATAATCCAGGATGTGAAGTAAGCACAATCAGGGTGGAATTATATTGATAAATTATTTTTAATTAGTAATTTTTTATGTCTTCTTTTAGGCCACCATTTTTTATCTGAACGTAGAGAATTAAGTAATTATTAAGTGCCCCACATCTAAACAAATAATGTATCATTCTACCATGATACACACACACACACACACACACACACACACACACACATATATGGATTTAAACACAATACCCATTTGAGAGGGAGGGGGAGGGAAATGGAGAGGCTATTTCACGTACCTAAATCTTCAAAATGTGCATAATGCATATATAGCAAGACATGTGACTTACACATAATACATTTTTCTTTCAAATAATCCTTCAAAATGCATGCAGCAATTACATGTTGACGCTCATCAATGGCCTTGATTATGCCAGCTAATAAATTTTTCTTTCCAATTATAGCAGCAATAATCACTAGAAATAATGTTCTAATAAGTTATTTGGGCTAAAAATAAAAGCAGCTGGTAATTTATTACACACTAAGATAAACGAGTGAAACTTTGTTTCAATAGAAAATAATACATACATAGTAAGACATGTGAATTACACACAGTTCATGGCCACTTTTCCACCTTCTTCTTGAAGAGCCCGGGACCGTAAGTAGAAGAAATATTTCAACAAGAAGAGGAAATTGTAATAATACAAAAAGGGTTACTGGAACACTAGCAAGTATAGGAACAGGAAGAATAACCCATAAATGTGATGAGTTATATTGCAACATGCTCATTATGGTTGCTGAAAAGGCAATCATCATAGTTGCAATAGACAAAAAAAGTGTAGAGAGGACTATTATCAATTTTCTAGGTAGTGAGTAAAGGAAGTCTTCTTCTGCATAGCGTTGTGTTAGGATCCCTAAAAATGTGAGCACGGAAGTAGTGGAAGAAAACAAGGAAAGGCATCTGAAATTAAGAAAACTTTAAATAACTTTTCCTTCATAAACATTGGGTACCCTGAATCCTGATTGTTCCCTCCGGGAACTGTCATAGCTACAGCAAACACAATGGTAACAATTAAGCCCCAACAACTGAACAAGAAGATGCTGTTTCCTTCATCCATTTTTCTCATTCAACCCTCAACCCCTTGTGGTTTTCTTTGAAAAATTGAGAGGCCTTAGCTCCTTGTCATTTACAAGTAGCCTTTGTCTAGGATCGACCACACTCTCTACAGCCTATGTTTAGAGAAAATAAATAAATAAACAATAAATAAAATACACAAAGTAGCAAAATAGAAGTTCTGATTAATTGTATATTAAAACATTTGATGCATATAGGATAACTCATTGTTATTCTTTCATTCTATGTGTATACAAACAATTAAGCTATGACATAAAATCAATTTACTTTTCTCGCTAGTTCACAATCAGCGAGTCTCAAGAGATGTGTCCGCGCATGGAAAAAAAATCCTCAAAGAAAAACATTTCCTTCATTAGTCAATTTCATTTTTTAATATCACACCATGCAATGAATCCTAATTATTAGCAGATGAAACACTCCATCCCACAAATCTTCTTTCCATTTCCCGTTGAATTTTACTCCTCTAATCCTTAATATAAGACCTAATTAACTAAATTGAGTAGATTAAGAATGTTAGTTAAATTAGTTGATATGATATATCTTTTCTAAAACACCCTAAGCATCTTTCTTAGTTCCCCCCATTTTCTCCCCTACTCGATTATTGTTGGGAAAATATTAATAGGATTAGTTTGAAAAAATTGATAAACATGTAAAATAAGTCTTATGTAAGACCTACATCAACTCTCCAATTAGTCGTATATTAATAAGAGTATCTCGTATTTCGGTAACCATTAGATAAGGCGAGCAGACCACATCACAAATAGGCTGGAATTGCGTGATTTTATGTTAGAAGAAAATCTAGTGTAGGTGTTAATATGAGTTATTAATGTCTTCCGGGCATGCGCAGAAAAGCAATAAATTTCATTTCTAACCTTAAACATTGCACTTCTCTTTGCATTTGTAAGGCGGCACCAGAGATGCGGTTAAGGTAGGAAGAAGGAGCCAACAAGGCTTCCGCGGGCAGCAAGTGATTTTTTGTGTCATTTGCTATCATTGCTGCCGCCATGTTCTTAAAACAAAAACTTCGGAGGAGGTTGAAAATCTTAGCTTTACGACATTCGACAGCCACGAAGAAAAAGGCCAAGTATGTTGAGTGACCAAAAGTGACTTGCGAGATTAATTTTGGGTTTGCCTTCGTCACTCTCAACAAAAACTCCGCTGCTTTTGCTGCTTCAATCATTGCTCCTCCATTAATACGCCTCTTCGCTTCATTCAAAAACATCAGATTCTCACAAACTAGTTTTAGAATTTCAGCTGCTTGTGCATACTGCAGCTTCATCTCGTATATTTCCTTCATTATTCCTGCACCATTGGTAACTCAAACACAGCTTCATGTTTTAATGATGAGAACTCAAAGACACAGATGGTTTGTTTGTGTGCATATACAAGTCTATCTCTTCTCTTGGGTCAAAGCTAGGTTAAACTTATTTAAACGCAGACACTGAGTAACTTATGCGTAAATTTAGGTTGAGACCTCTCAACATTCACAAATTAAGCTTATGAAGATTAATGGTATACCTGATTTTATGTGTGATAAATTAAATGAAAAACTTTACAAATTATAATCTACCATGTTCTATAATAATAGTTATATAATATTAATTGATTTCATCTTCTAAAGTGAGAGGAAATATTGTACCTTGACCAGCTTGGTTGCTCTCGCCTTCTTGAATATCTATGCAGAAATGCCCAGTCATTGTGGTTGATGGTGTTTTAATATCTTCCACCCAAAAGTGATCAAAGAAATGGGAAAACATAAGCTTCTTCAAATAATAATGCAATAAATAACTAGAAGTACAAGTAAATTACATAAAGAGTATTAATTAAGTACCGCCACCTCCTAATAAATTGAGGGATTGTTTTCTATCAAATGCAAAGTCAAATCAGGCGACAATACATAAATAGTATTTTTGGAAAAATTTTTGCCAGCATTATTTTTGGAAATACGTCAAAAAAGTTTCACCAAATTTTTAAAGAGCCTTATAATGGACCATGAAATTTTTTTTGAATGTATCTTAAGTTTTTTTCCCCCCAGACTAACCAACTGATCTGAACTGATGCTTCACGAAAAGAATGCCTCTCCCAACGTGCGTTTGTGTGTGTGTGTGTGTGTGTGTATGTTTTTTTTTTAAAAGAGGGTGTGATTTGAATTCAGTTCGCCTACTTACTTTCCGCTAGACCAAATAGCCTTGGGTAGAAATTATCTTACGTTATTGGACGTGTAGTGTAGTTATAATAGATACTGTTTTTATGCTAACAGTAGTAACAATGAATTATAAGAAGACAGCACTAGTTGTGAAAGGCGTTCGATATTCAATTAGGACGGATTAGGAATGAGAGTGTGTGTGTGTGTGTGTGAATAACCAAATATGGATTAATATCATCACAATTCACCATTTTGGTTAGTGAATAATTAAAAGGAGCGAACAATATATAGAGAATTGTAGCTAGGGGAAAACAGGGAGTGAAAAGTAATTAACATGTACTAACAGCGATAGGCCCATCGCTTCCAGAGGAAGTTGACTTTTGTTAAGAGAATATTCAGGAACATAGAATGCAATACGCTCAATTGTTGGGACCCCGTATGAGTCAGCAGCAAAAAGCAGCTCCGTGCATCGTTGGAGCAAATGCAAGGCAATATCTGTTATTATGTATCAAAATCATATAGTATGATGAGACGCAATGCCAAAATGAAAATGAAAATGAAACAAATATTATAATGCTTTAATTTGTGTATAACATTATATATATATTACCATATTGTCCAATTCTCAAACAGATATGGAGGAACGTAGGACCCACTTGGCCGTTTTCTGGTCTGAAGACTTGCAATAGTTGAGTGACAGAATAGAGATAACGTCCCATTAGCTTGTGGCCAGAAATAAAAGCCAAGGAAACAGGAATGGTCCAATTCCCTTGAGCTGGAATTGTGAGTGCAATGCTATTTTTGTTGACCAAGCATCTTGCAACTGGGATGGCGCCGCCATGCGATGCAGCTATGGCAAGAGGAGTAAAACCAGAAGCATCGCGTATTACAAGATATTCCTGTGCAACTAATGCCACCAGCTCCTCTACTATGCGTAGATGCCCAAACTTTGCTGCCACATGAAGAGGTGTTCCGCCCATTGAAGTTGCAAAATCTACGTTCAGTACCTGAGGATGGCGATCAATGAATGCTTTCACGGCCGACCAGTTGTTCTCAGATATGGCCTTGTACACAATGCCCATCTCTAATTCATCTACTGCTGTAATCACCAAAACACACGCATTATATTAATTAAGAGAACGGATATAGTATATAGATAAATCCAATGAGAATGATATTGAAAGTGGGAATCATGTAGTAATATTCCCTATCCCTCGCTCAATCCACTTCCAAAATGCCGATCAGTGAGGGATAATATATGACCTTCGATACTTAGCTAGTTTGATGTTCAACTTAGTACAAGACTTTAACTTACTTTGTCTTTTATATTTATCTATTTTTCCTAAGATAGTCCTTGTATTAGTTGCACAGGTTAAATGTCTTTTCAAGTAACAATTCTAGCTAATATACATAATTATTAGTAAGGATATTTTAAGAAAGATAATACCTATTTATTACAAATAACTAACTTAACCAATTTTCTTACCCTATGTTTGGTATGAGGGAATTGGAAGGGAGGGGAGGTGAGGAAAAATTTTAATGAGTTTGATTTTAAAAATTGGAGAGGTGGGGTTATAAAATTTTGATAAAGAAAAAACATAAAATAAGAGTTTTAAAGTTTTTGACCCCCTCTTTCAATTTTTTAAATCGAGTTCATTAAAATTTTTTCTCCCCTTCTCTTCTCTCCATTTTTATCCTATCAAACGGACTATTAATCTACTCAAATTAGTCAAGTAGCTTTTACTTTAGATACACAAACATATATCAACCCACAAATCATATGCATTTTTATATCTGAGCGTACAGAATTGAATATTCATTCACTCCGCTACATCTAAAGAAATAATATAGCCTTGAACACAATACGCACCCGTATCTAAATCTTGTTCCTCTCTCCTCATCACTGTAATCACGAACTCTTACAGTTTGAGAAATTAAAATACACATTTCGGCGAAATAAACAAATATATTAATTGCGCTTACCAGTTGTTGCTTGCTCCATAAGAATTTGTTGTGGCTATATATGGCTTGTTACTTCTTTTTCAATCAGCTCGCTAGCACTTCGCTAGCTCTGCACACATTCTGTATTTATAGCCTTTTCGTTTATACCCTACGTGAACGTATTGCTCAAGATATTTGATAGATAACTGGGGACTAAGTAAAGGATCGTGATGTCACCAACAAGAAAAAGAAAAAAAAACTCGAAAGTTCAAGTACAGCACACCATATGCTTTAAGTTCCTTTAAATTGAAAGCAATAGGTCTCAAGCAGACAGGAAGCAAGGAATGGGGAAAAAAAAAAAAAAGAGGCACAAAAGTGGTTACGAATTGCGGAATGCTTGACGTGGCACAATCTGGAGCGTTGGTGAAGCAAACCGCTTGGATTTGAATTGATAATCATCAATTCACTAAAATGCGCCATATCATCCTCTGCAAATCTCTGCTTTCAGTAATTTTTGCACCAGAGTTCTAAACCTCTCCATCATGTTTCACTGTTTATGCCTGTTTGGATTTGGGCTAATTAAGCTGAGTATATGCCCTGGTTCGCTACGATTTCAATACGCATGACTTAAAATAACGTAAACTTTTTATTGTTTCAACCATTAATTAGTAGGCATCAACGACATTTTCTTATCACAAAGGTTATCAACGTATGTACTATAAATAAACAGTCAAACATGACGGAGAAGTTTATTTTTGAATAATACTATAAATAATTAAATATTGATAGTATTGATCATTTCCCAAACTATAAAACTATAATAAATTAACTTCTCAACTACCCCTCTTCCTCTCTCTCTCTCTCTCTCTCTCTCACATAAACAATTAATTCAGTTAATCAACGTTTCTCTCTTTCTCTGGTTGGTGTATTTAATTATTGTGCAGAAGGAAAAAGCTGTGGCTAAGCTGGTGATTGAAGCCGTGGATGCACTTTTAGAATCTGATCACTTTTAGAGTTGTGGAGGGAGATATCCTCAAGGATTTCAAGTCCCTGAGTTTTACCTTGCACGCAATTCCAAAGGATAAAGGGAGTTTGGTGCATCTTATTGTGGAATATGAGAAGCTGAAAGGTCAGAGCGAATCGCTCGATCTCTCTCTCTTGTGTTGTTATTTACAAATCAAGTGTAGCAAAAACTAGTAAAGTATAGGAAACAATTCTGACTTGATATTTAACAATTTTCAGGTTCTGTATGTAAGATTTTCTCTAGAAGATATGCGACATTTTAGTGAATTGATGATCTTCAATTCAAATCCAAGCCATTTGCTTCACCAACGTTCCAGATTGTGCCACGTCAAACGTTCCCCCATTTCGTAAATATCTTTGGCTTTTGTTTCCATTCCCTTCTTCTTGTTGTTTTCCTTTTCTTTTGTTTTTTGTTTTTTAAAACAACCGTTCCTTGCTTCTTGTCTGCTTCAGATCTATTCCATTCAATTTAAAGGAACTTAAAAAGCATATGGTGCTTTCATTCCTCCAGGGAAAGAATAGACCCGAGTCCCCAATCATATAATACTCTCTTGTGTAAAAGGCATTTAGATTTTAAATGCTCTCATCTAAGGTGTAGAAGCTAATCAATTAAAGTTTGATTTTAATCCTAAATATATGATTCTAAGCTTTATCTCTCACATTTTTTTTTTTCAAACTAACTTAATTGATTAATACTGGGCCATCAGCAGTATTACCAATCAAATTCAAATAGATACAAGACATTTGCTATACATGTGTATTTTAAAAAGAATCATGTCAGATCAATTTGTAATCATTAATTAATATCTAATTTTCTTAGTATATTCAAATTAGTAGTTAAGTAGCTTTTACATTAAAAACTGAGTTGAAGGTTTTCGGGCATACCTGGAGTCTGCAATAAAGTCAGGTTGCCACGCGGAGATCCGATCACGGTGACGGAGTCGGATTTGGGAGACACAGCAAACACACTGGAGTAAGGGAAGATGAGGAAGAGTGAACTAAGAAAGGAGAAGGGAGTCTGGAGCACGAAAAAGGATCTCACGTTTTGGCCCTTTTTCTCCGGATAAAACCGTTTCTTAACTCCCCCCTTTTTCAAATAAAAAACCGTCTCCTCCCACCTGCAATCATTCCCTCCTTTTTTGCTAATCATATAAAATGGCAAAAATTACAGTTAAAGACCCAAGAGTTTTGTTATTTACACTAGAGTCCCAAATGATAAATGGGCTTGGGTCCAATCCACTAAGGGTGGACTGGCCCATTTTCTTACATCTCCCACTCACACTTGGTGGATTAGATGTCGCGGGTCTAGTCTCTTCACCTTCCCTCAATTTCATACTTAGTGCTTTGCCGTGACCGCGTGGGCATGACGTCTTCGCTTGGGTCCTTGTACTAGAAATCCCTTTTAAAGGATCAGCACAAGTCACCCTCTCCTTTGTGTAGCCTGAATTTTAAAATTATGCCTCAGATGTCCTAGATTTACTTATATACACTTTTCCACGGTAAATCTAATCCCTCTCGAGTCAATGGTTAACTCAGATTACCTTTCTCTTATGTCTAGTATCCACACTTATGACCACAAAATGTCATAAGGGACATGTCACAGACACTAGCATAGGTGTGTATATCATAGTCAATCTTCCTTTCGCCCAAATATCACTTTGAAATGAATCAGTCGCTTTCTTAGCATACTACCTTAGATCGCATCAATCATGACCATAGGACATATGCCAAAGTAGCAGTCACTGAAACATATCTTCATGATATTGTCAAAGTCAAAGGACACCAATAGGAGGATAATTCCTCCCTGGGACTCACACAGCAATGAAGCAGGGATCTTTCACTTGCTTCCCTTTTGCGGTTCTCTCAGCACATGTGGTATGAAACACATGCTACGGTGTTACTCTTTTACTATAAGAGCGTATGTCGATTTATATTTATTATTAACACTGTACAGACTTAGGTCCAGACACACTTAGTATCTAAACCCAAATTCTTCAACTCTGCTCATTGTTATGACGTCGACGTTGAAGAGTTTGTTGTCTGGCTACAGGTATTATGGAAGTGGGATTCCAAACTTCGATCCAGCTTTATTAACGTGGATCTCATCTTGACTTGCTACACTTTAGTCAAGGCGACATAAGGTTTGTGTTTCTTCTCTACCATATCAGCATTCATTGCTGCTTTACTGGTGAACACAAATGTCTCATCTTTGTTCACTCCACCTGAGTGTCAAAGGCAGTTGCCCGTGTGAGAGAGCCAACCTTTTTAACCTGTACGACATACTAGACATTGTATACTTTCGGACAGACACATAAAGTGATAACGAAATACAATTTCATTAATGAGGCATTCATATTACACTTTATGTATGCCAAGGGCTTGTACATGTTCTTTAAAAACTTTTTCGCCTATTGGCTTTGTCAAAGGATCTGCTACCATACATTTAGTTGAAATATATTGTACAGTAACAATCTTTTGTGCTATGTAATCTCTAACAAAATTATACTTGATGTCAATGTGCTTGGTTTTGCTGTGATATTTAGGATCTTTGGTATAGGCTATGGCTGCAGTATTGTCACAGTATACCATCACCGGATTGGTACTCTCGTTTCCAAATCCCAGGTGTTCTATAAATCTCTTCAGCCATAAAGCCTCTTGCACTGCTACAGTGCATGCCACAAACTCAGCTTCTATTGAATGTAAGGCAATGCACGTTTGCTTCTTGCTACTCCAATATATGGCGCCATTGTTGAGCAAGAAGGTATAACCTGAAGTTGACCTTCATTCTTCTTCATCTCTGCCTACATCAGCATCGGAGTACCCAACAAGACGCAGATCACTTCGTTCGTAGCACAATGCATAATTGGAAGTGCCCTTTAAGTATCTCAAGATCCTCTTCACTGCTTTCCAATGCTTTTCACCGGGGTTAGACTGGAATCTGCTCACCAGTCCCACTGCATAATAGATGTCTGGTCTTGTACACATCATTGCGTACATCAGACTACCAACAGCACTGGCATATGGAACTCTTTCCATCTTTCTTTTATCAGATTTGGTTTTGGGACACATGTCAGAACTCAAAGCCACTCCAGTAGCAACAGGGGTACTCATGGGATTG